AGAGAAACCTTTTCACTGATACAAAGATCAATGCTGTGCTTGGGAATAGGGCAGGATTTCACTTGCAGGTTGAACTCCAATTAGAACTGAAATCAGGAAATCCCTGGAGGGTCTTACTTGTGCTTGGAGCCATTATATCTCAGAGGGATTAGGAGATCAGATTCCAAGGAAATTCCAATAGGTCTGCTGGATGTTCCAATTTTAAAATAACTGCTGTTTATATAGCTCAATTTCCTTAAGTGAATGATATAGTTACATGTTTGACGACAGGACTTCTTCCTATGCAGGACATAACCTTCTCTGCTACTAACCGGAGGTGAGTAATGAGCTGAACTATCTGTGACTGTGCTGATTATGAGGCTGAAGGCCACTGAGCATGTGCAGTAAGTCTGCTCAGGGCCTTCTGCTGCTCATGCTGTTACTTCATCTTCCTGTGCTGTCACAGGACGGCCTGCCATCGAGCAGCCAGCCCTGAAAGTTTAATGAACACCAATTAAGCCTTCACAATCGCTTAAGTGGTTGGGACTACTGGCAGTAGAGATAGAGGAGCTCTGGGAGGATATAATGAAGAGAGAGATAGAAATAGGGAGTAAAATGGAAAAAGAAGTTGATTATAAAAGATTATAAACAACTTTAACAACTTTAAAATATATATTTTAAAAATATATAAGTTATGGACATTTAATTTTTGAATTATGATTATATTCTCTTGATGGTATTATGCTCTCAATAATATTATATAGAATATAATATCATTACTAAATTGTTAATATTAATGTCAAAATCCAAATCCAATAACGTAGCAGCTCATGTGCTATACCCTTTACTATGCCTTAATATGAATGATAAAACATCTTTTTTCATTAGTGTCATTCTGTGATCTTTATCAGTGCTGAGTTGAGAGCTTGCTCTGACTGCATACTGACTGCATGCCCACATGAAACATCGACACACATGCATTTCATCTACAGCTCTTTGCTGTCTGCCCTTTCATATCTCTTCTGGTGGGAACCCTGTAAAGCAGCCAAGCCCCCTTTGACTCTCTATCTCTCTCATCCTATCTCTTCTATGACTACAAAAGGAGCACTGGAGTGTGTGTATACAGATTTTTTACTGCCCCACTGGAATAAGCTTGAAATGCACACCAAGTTTATAGAATATGCATATAGGAAAGGCAAGCGAATATGCAGATAGGAAAACTTATTGTTTTCGACCAACATATGTAGCCTACTGTTGCAATTGACAGAGACTCGTGCATCATAAATTGGGTCTACAAATACAGAATAACTGCATGAATTAACTTAGTCTCTGTGCAATGCACACAATATATGCTACATTTACAGAAAATAACCCCATACAGACCAGAATGTTATTTAAAATGCAATATGACATGTTTTATTGTCATAGTGCATGGCATTTTTATGAAACCGAAGATCATTGATTTTTAATGTGGCTGTCTACCAGAAATCTCCAGAGGACTTTGAACGTTCTGTTGTTGGAAGCGGTTCTGGAAACAGTCAGAGTACTTTGATGTTAGTGCTCCTCCATTAAATACAGTCCAAGTATCTCCTTCATCACAAGATATAATGTGCATGAAATGAAACCTTGAAATGTAGGCTACGCAGGTGGTAATCTAATTACATGTATTCACATCTGTAATAAAAGGAGATCTTGGAAATATCCCAAGTTCCTCTTTATTCTCTTTTTGAGAGCTCAGTAAGAACCTCGGGTGCGTTTCCCAAAGGCAATGGTCGCAAGTTCCGTCGTTACCAATAGAATTCAATGGAAATAACAACCATAACCTGCAAACAAGCATGCACCGGTCCTTTATGGCTAGCTTAAGGGCCCCCAGCGGGCTGCCAGCGCAGGGCCTCTGAGATTTTGCTCATTGGCAAAACGTTGGCCCCTTAGTGCTGGCCCTGCACGGGCAGCCCTCACTTAGCCCACACTATTAATCTACAACAGGGGTGCTCAACCTGGGGCCTGTACCATGAAGCCAGATTAGCTGGCTAGCCAGGTAAGTTTCAGTTTAGTTTTCACCAATCCTGGGTTTTAGGTACCATGAAAGTGGCTTGGCTTTTAGCAGTGTTCATCGCCATAGTAACTTACGCTCCACAGCTAACCTGCTCCAGGGCAGGTTATGTTCTAGTTTAGAGATCGCAAACTGAAATTTGACCAATCAACTTCAAGAAAAGTGACACATCTCTGATGCAATAAAGCTACTCCCCCAGTTTCTCTTGCTCCAAATTAAAGGGCACTACATAGTAAAACATTTTTAAAGATAAAATCATCTGGCTTTTAGTGATGATTATTTATTATAATTATATGATTTATATATTTATTATAGCCTTAATCCATTACACAAGCCATATTAAAATAATAATGATTCATCTTTTATTTTAAATTAACATAAATATATACAGATAATATAGAATATAAATAAGCTTTAGAATTAATAGATAAGAAAAAAAAAAAAAAAAACTCCTTTAGACTGGGCTTGAAATGACACATTTCCCGACCAGGACACAGCACAATGTTTTCAGCAGGTGAGCCATGCTGGCTACTGCTGCTTGCTATTGCTAATTCTCTTCTTCTTCTTCTTTGGAATTTTTGGCGTATTCCGCACCGTAGGCACATACCGCCACCAACTGTTTATATACATACATGGATGATAGTCCCGTCTCTATTCATATTTTATTTTATTTTATTGTTTTGCTAATTCTCTCTACCACATGGCTTTACTTAAGGAAACCTAAAACACCTTAGCATCCCTAGTGGTAAGGAAGAAAACTGCCCACAAAATTCTTATTAACAGGCTCATGTCTGGCCCACACTGGGCCATCATTGGATTAATGTGGGCAGTCCCATAGTGTGGGCTGCTCACAGAGAGCCTGCGGTGAGCCCAAAGCTGTGGGCCTCACCTGGGTAAGCCCGCACCGGGCCTGTTTAGGTTTGGTGTGGGCTGGCCCTAGCCCACTGTGCCCGCAAAAAGCCAGCATGGGCCCCGCAAGGACATGTTTGCAGGGTAGTTAGCTAACAATGCTTTTGGGAAACGCACCCCTGGTTGATTCTAGAACAGACACCTTCTGTTCTACCACGTAGGCTACATGACCCAATAATCTGAAACACTTTGACTCTCATATTATTTCAGAAAGATGTGTCTGGAGATATAATGTGAAGAGAATATTTCTCAGTTAAAATCAGTATGTTTATACAATTATGCTGCATTCACGCCATATCGTAATTTGGAGATAGCAACACGTGACGTTCTACTGGGAGCTGTTCATACCCTTGGACTAGGACAGTGTTTCTCAACCCTGGTCCTGGGCGCCCCCCAACACTGCACATTTTGTGTGTCTCCCTAATCAAACACACCTGATTCAACTCATTAGCTCATTAGAAGAAACTCCAGTACCTGAAATGGGTCAGATAAGGGAGACATACAAAATGAGCAGTGTTGGGGGGCGCCCAGGACCAGGGTTGAGAAACTGGACTAGGACACAAAACTTTTGCACTATCAAAGCCTAAACATAGTGCGTAATGAATTTGAGGTGGTCAGGTGGCACAAATCGTAGCTTTCAGAAAACTCCCAGTTCACAAGTTGTAATTACGAGTTGAGTTCTACGAGGACGTGAATGCTTTTTACAAGTTGGTATCTCGTAATTACGATATGGCGGGAACACACCAAGACTTACCTGGCTGAATAACCCTGCGTTCCATTCGGAAGGGCTCATCCCTATGCCCTAATCCCTTCAAAGGGTTTACCCTCTGGAGTGAGAGCTTCGAAGGGTTGAAGGGTGTAGGGGACCAAACAACTGTTTCTTGAAGTGCCCTTCTGCGTCATCAACACAGAGGCGCCTTCATCATGCAAAGAATCTGCGCAAAGGATCATGGGAGCCCGAAGTGTCCATCAGTTGTACCCTTCGAAATCCTTCGTTCCGAAGGGCCTTTTGAAGTGGCCAGTTTTGAGCACTTCGGTTTGGAACTACCTTTCAATATGGCGGCCATGATTGTTTTCACTCCGAAGTGCCCTTCGGAGGGCGATATATCCCGTTTGGAACGCATCGTCTATCTTCTTCTTCTTCTTTGGTGTTTCATTGGCGATTGGCAAACCAGCTTATAGGTGCATTACCGCCACCATCTGGACTGGAGTGTGGATCAGGATATATGCATATACAAAGGAGGGGAATGGCTGAAAAAATAGCTAGGACATCCGGTTTAGTTTCAAAAACATCTGAATGTAACTCTGTCGCCCCCCTCAGTACTGACTGCAGACCAAAGCAACAGCTCATGTCAAATTTGTTCAACAGGACATCGCGTTGCCCAGTATCGGTTTTCTTTAAAGGAATGTTTCCAAATGCATATGATTGACTCATTAGTGGGATTATTATGGTATAAATAGTACATATGATATAAACAAAAGAGATGTTTAGCAATCACAACCGTGCACACATCATCATTGTAGGTTCACAGTTTGCTTACATATTTTAGCAATATTTGTGATTTCCTCATGCAAAATAGCCTACATCAAACCAAAAGCAATCAACACAAAATAGTATTTTTGCACAGTGACAGACACAATGGTTATTATCTCGATTATTTAGAGAAAATGTTTGCAAACAATTCAGGAAATATATGCCTTGATTTTTGCAAGCATAGCTCTGGGATTTCTTACCTGAATTTCAAGTTTTATCGACTGTGTCAACTTTCAGTTTTACTGACCGAGTTATCACTGCAATACAACAGCATTGCCCTCTGCTGGCCACAGTATCACACTGCAGAGTACAGTAACTTCACTTATTAGCGAATGATGTTTACAGGGCAACAAATATATCAGAAGTCTGGGTTTTATTAGCTAATTTTGTTTCAATAATACCGTTCGAATAATTTGTATCATTCAGATTGAGTTTGCTAACAAATGATTAATTTATTTACTTTTATTATTAATTAATAAAAGTTGGCTACATTTTTACATTTAATAATTACATTTTGATCTCTCCTTATAAGAATCACTTAATTAGCATTCAGTAAGCATAAACATGAATGGCCATGGACAAGCAGCAAGGATTACAGTCTTCAGAAGACAAAACACAATATACACACCACAGTTTCAGATTCACATCAGGATAATAAGAAAACGGTGAAAAATTTTAGTTATAACACATATTTTTATACCACAAGACTCTCCTGAAAGTGTTTGGATATTTAAGTGCTTTGTGGTATTTGGCAAATTTTCAGTAGCAGAGGAAAGGTGCTCACAGAGACATTACAAGTGATTCACCTCTGCAGTCAGAGAAGGCAGATAATGAGATAATACTATTGCAGAGTTGAATGTTGAGTAACGTGCTTTGATATAAGAGATAGCAGGAATAAAAGCTATTAATATGAGCAAGAGTCATAATGGTTTCAGACGCCAAGGTGTGCACTGAGTCGACAGAGAGCATCTCCTACAATATCCAGCTCGTGTCTGAGCTCCTCAACCACATCGTTGATGCTGGGCATGTCCTTCAGCACACACACGCTCTGTGTGTACGGATTAAACCGGAGGGAGAATGGACGCTGGATTGTCTTTGCAAATTCACTGTGAAGAATAAAATAGAGGAAATATATGGTCAAAGCAAAACAACAATGATATGGCGTGCAAAAATAACAAGTTGCGTATTTAAAAACAGATTTACCGCATTCTAAATTTGGCTTCCTCAAAGCTCTCCGAAACAAAGTAAACATCTTGAAAGGTGGTGATGAGACACTCCTGTTTACAGGTGACATTGGGCTCAAAGGGCAAGATTTTAGCAGAGCCTGAGAGAGAGTGCTTCAAAACAAAGCATATGTGTTTCAGTCATTCACTTCAGTTAAATTCAACAGCAGTTACAATACTGCTCAAAATTTAGGGTCAATAAGATTGTTTTTTAAAGAGATTAATACTTTTATCTAGCATGGATGCAGTAAATGTATCAAAAGTGATAATAACAACATTTATAATGTGTATAATGTATAATTTCTGTTTCAAATAAATGCTGTTCTTTTGAACTTTCATACTTTATACATGATTTCTGAGGGATCATGCAAAAATGGAAAACTGAAAAATGGCTGCTGAAAATTCAGCTTAAAATATATTAAATAGAAAACAGTTCATTTAAATTGTGATAATATTTCACAATATTCTTGTTGTACTGTATTTTGATCAAATGAATGCAGCTTTGGTATTTTTAAAGACATTTAAAAAGCCATCTAGCAATTTAGTCATATTTATTGTTGAAACTAATTATTAAACATAAAAAGATTATAGTTGTAATCTATAATTCTAAATCTGATAATGTGTATCTACCTTAAGTTCGCTGATGGAAGAGAGAAGCCCAGCGCCGTATGCTCTGAGTGAACCCTCCTGCTTACACAGGCCAAACTCCACCGTGAAGAAATAGCACTGCAATGGAACATACAACAACATACCAACCATCAAAACTAGTGCAAACAATAAAGGCTTTATGCCTATATACTGTGTAAACAGCAGGATAGCTAAATGTAAGAAATACACACTGTTGCTAACTTCTGCACAGCGTCATCAGACGCCCCGAGAGAAGCCAGTCCTAATTCCTGAGAGAACTGTGCAAAACTGGGTTCGGCCAACAGAGGAACATGACCCAGCAGCTCATGACATGTGTCCCTAAAAAACACAGACAAGATCTCTTTAATTATCGAATAAGGTTGAATAAGGCCTAGTTCACAAGACATATGCAAACAGTGTGTAAGTGAAGCAGAAGCACGCTTGCATAAAGATTTGATGTTAACACTGTTTCTGCTGTAGAGTTGCAGCTGTGCAGAAAATGATTGATTTCTGAGTGATTTCTGGATTACTACATTGAATACTTCTTTTAAAATGCACCGTTATGCTTTTTATGATTTTACCTTTCCTTTAATATGTAATAAATCTGTTTGTGCATGCAAACCATCTGCAAAGATAAAGCACAACAAAGTCCACACCAAATGGAGATAATCTCTCCAGTAGAAAACACTTGCCTAAAACACTTTGTTTGTAGTCCTGCCATTATTTCCATTACTTTGCTACATCACCAAAAAAACAAAAAACAAAAAAAACTTATACAAATTTATACCAATACCGACGCCACAGTTACCATAGATATAATACTGTTTACAGTTGCTCATGAGGCCTTGGAAGCTAAAAACCCAATTGACCAATCACAACAGACTGGGCCAGCTGACCACTCTGAGCAAACTCAGAGATGGGTGTAAAAAGAGGTGCTGCAGCAACGTACAGTATGAAAAAAAAAAGTTTTTTCATTTGAAATCATGTAAATGTACTCTAGCAGACGGCAAATATAAATTTATGACTTTAAAATAAACATAATAGGGGTACTTTAATAACTGCCATAAATATAAAATGATTATTGAGAGCATTGGCTATTAAGAATTATTGCAAACTTGATCATTCTGAAATCATGTGACTGAGTTTAAACATTGAAATGTGGTTGAAAGAATGCAAGTTGTTGTTTCAACACTGAAAAAACATTGCAACAATTCTTAAAGGCACAATATGTAATTTTTCGCCACTGGAGGGCGCGTATTCAAAATAAACAAAGAGGCAAAGGTGTAGTTTGATGACGCCATGACTGAGTGTGGAATCATGGGAGTTGTCGTCTTCATCCCCACAGCCGATGCAATCTGACGGGACTCGGGCAGAAATCATGTTCATGGATGAGCTAATGATTTGTTAACGTAGTAGAAAGAAGCAGGGTGAGGCTGAAAGCCGTCGAAGTGAAACGAGGCCACTGAACGAGCGGAAATCGAGGGGTTATGACGTCATTGGCAGGCGACACAATGACACTATGGACATGGTCCGTGTCACTAGTTAAAATTGCTTATTTCTCTGGATTTAAACATTCTTCGAAACATTTGGGATAATGTAAGTACACAAGTCAGCAAAATATATAACACTGTTCTAGTGGTTTTTGGATATTTTAATAAAAAAATCTTACATATTGTGCCTTTAATGCCAAATGATTGTAAATAGGTTAAAATAATCATTTTAAATCAATGCTAAAATTTTAACATGCTGCAATACATCATCTTTTATTCAATATTCCAAATTGCAACAAAATTAAATGATTTAAGTGATTTAACCTTGATCCATGAAGTTGATTCACCCAAGAATGGAACCCAAACCCCAAAGTGCAAAATATAAACTGCTTAAATCATCTGGATTCAGTTTGATTAAGAGGTGATGTGTTTGTTTTCATTTCTGCATGTTAATGCATCAGGTGTGACAGACAGTGGGTGTTGCTTCAACAATGGGTACTGCTTCATAAAAGCCTATTTCAAAAGATTGTGTCAATAAACAGGCCTGAAGAGATAAAGGGATATACAGTATGCTTTGTACTCACGGTTCAGGAGTGTAGAGAGGATCTGAGCTGTGACGCACATATTGTGTACAGTGAAACACTCTGAAGGCCAGACCAGCTAGAAAGTCTCTCGGTGACAAGTACCCAGCAACAGGGCGAATGGTGAAGCCAGTTCGCTCTGAAACACACATACAGCAGCCATATAACTACTGCCCTCTGCTGGTGACACAACTAATACTTCTCGTCAGCTTGTATTGTAGCAATTGTAAAGTTAAAATGCATCGCTGTGTGTGCACTGATTGTATGCGCTCAGTCTCACCTAGGCCTGGGCGATAAAACGGTATCGATATTTATCGACGGTACACCTTCATCGATAACGATATGACAAATGTTCGATATAGCGCACGATATAGGCACGTACGATGAGTGACGCAGACAGCATACACAAACACGAACACATGCTGAAATGAGTGATGTGCCTGCCTGTGATGAGGAGATTGTGAATAAAAACATTGATATTAGTCGAATTTAAAATAAACATTTGCATTTTAATGCAAAAAGGGTACAATCGAATGTTAGGTGTGCACCAGGGAGCGTCATTAGTGGAGCGCGAGATGCGGTGATGATGTAAGTGACGTTGTTGCATTCTAATGTTTTGTTAGTCTAGCCCACGAAACGCACCGCTGCTGTGTTATTCCTTCAAAACTTAAGACTTATTTAATCTGCATATAAAACATAAGAAAGGAGATATTTGTTTAAATTGTATTTTGTGTTTGACTGTTAAAAAATAATATATATGCCTATATATATTTGTTGTTTGTCTTAATAAAGTTGGCAAATTAAAAATACAGTGGTTAAATAAAAAAAATATATTCTATTGCTCTGTTTAAAAAAAGGTTATAAAAAATGTCAATAATTATCGATACCGAACGATATGAAACATATATCGTTGATATATGTTTTAGCTATATCGCCCAGCCCTAGTCTCACCTCTCAGGAAGTTGGACACGTCCTCCAGCTGTGGTATGTTGTCCTCTCTGTAGCCACAGAACTGGGTGAGCAGAGGCAGGTTGTTTAGGTACTCTCGACAGGCATGTGTGGGGTACAGCTTATTCAACTCCCGGAAAACGACACCCCACGTCTTCACCTCTTCCTCTGTAAACTCCACACGTGGTATAGGTTCTCCACTGCGGAATGAGAGAGAATCATGTCAATATTATAGATAAATATGTGGAATTAATGTAAACCTTTTTGTTAAACGTACTGTTTGTAACTCATGGCAAGATCAGCAAAATATTTCCTTCTCTTACGATAAATGTTGTCTTTGAATCCCTGAAATCATATAGGAACAAATACATACATAAGGTCATGGAATTTTTTTAGCAGCTCAAATACTGAAGAGTGCTAAATGATCATGACATAAATACTATTATCAGTGAATTTCTATAACCTAGCTCTCTAGCAAAATGTAAGACAATACTGACCGGATGATCCGCGTCCAAATCTGAACCATACATCAGAACACGACAGGCACTCTTATCTAGATCTGAGATCTTCTTGGGGAACCAAGGCACCTCAGCAAGTTCTTAATAATGTATTTGCACAGTGTTACACAAGATTTATACACAAATTTCTGTGCAATACTCATCTATTTAATGAAGGAGTAAAACACAGTACCGTTTGCAGGAGTCCAGAACTTATCAGGTGAGTCCATGGTTATGATGCTTGTTTGTTTGCGGAGCAGCTGAACGATATCTTTTAGAGTTTCTCGATCACTGTCACAATCCACCAGTACTTCTAGCTCTGAGTTACGCCGCCGGGACTTACGTGACTCAATATGCAAAAGCTTTACCTGGCTGTCCTGTTTATAATGAATGAAAATGTCATTTAGCCCACTTTAAATTTAAATTGAATATTTTCTGTTTGAATAATATTTATTCAAAATACATTTATACATTAATACATTCATTTGTATAATGGATATATTTGAAGACATACCAGATTTATAAAGTGTGATAACTTTTACACTGCAGTGGCATGGAAGGAGGTGGATCTTGATACAGTATCTATAAATTCACTTCATTCTTGAACAGTGGCACAGTGCATACTTTCCACTATAGGATTTCAAAGTTATTGTTTATTATTGCTTTAACTGGAATTGCTAAACAACTAGCTATTTAACCATTAATGCCTTTTTTATGAGTCAGTTATGTATAACATGATTCTACTGAAGCTGAAAATAGTGAAAATAATCAAAGATAGATAGATGGATGGATGGATGGATGGATGGAAGAAAGAATGGAAGAAAGAAAGAAAGAAAGAAAGAAAGAAAGAAAGAAAGAAAGAAAGAAAGAAAGAAAGAAAGAAAGGCAACATTTAAAGAAGGGAAAACATTAATGCACCTGAAATAATTTTAATGCTTTCACAAGCCCTCCGACTTCATTCTTTAGAGAGAAGACAATTGCGGCATGTTCTCTCTTGGAGGAACGTATCTTGTCTTTGTTCTCCTCTGTCTTATGAAAAGTAGTTTTGTTCAACTTAATAAATAAGAGAGAGAGAGAGAGAGATTATAATCAGTATCATTGGGTTTTACCTCAGGTGTCTTTTCACATTAGCATGACAATCTCTTTACTACAGCAGATGTTTAATCTCCCGTGTGAGTGAACTTCTGTTTGTTTTTGACATGTTTTTCAAATAGGAAATCGTTATTCACAGGCAAATAACATGAACAGATCATTATTTTCAAAAGGTTGGGTAGGATGCATTATGCTTTCAAATTTAGGCTAGGCTATAGGCTATATATGACTAGACCAGCACTATGTGGTGGACAGCAACTGCATGTAAAAGCCAATGAATGACATTAACAAACGACCATTTTGCAGTATACAATGCACAACAGATCAGAAGTTCATGCGCATTCAAAACTAAAAAAAATAATGTGTGGAAAGTTTTATCATAATTATTTAAATGCACATTAATTATGTTAAGCAAATATAATATTTAATGATGTTATTTATGAAAGTTTTTGGAAAGAATTAACATAAAAAAAAATATATATATGCTATTTTATTCCTTTCTTTGAGACTTTAAACATCAGTAATTGATGATTGTACTGCACCCTTTAATTTCTTAGGACTATCAGCGCAACTAAATTAATTTTATCATCCGTTCTGACAGCTCACTTTTCTCCCCGTATTCAAAATTTTTTATCATTTTGATATATAAAAATATTAGCAAAAATGTTAGCATTTTGAATATATGTCAAAAGTTCTTCTTACCTCATTGCTGAGTTGCTTCTCTTCGTAACTCTTATTGATGGAGTCAAAAGACCGTCCTCGACGCGGTCCGTCAAGCTTGTTGGAGAGCATGGATGGGTGCTTCTGTTTTTATAGTAGAATATGGAGATGCGTGGCTCAGAGAGACGCTTCTGTCAGTCTGATAATGATGTTTTCTCTCTGGATTTATAAAGAGATCAGGCGGAGGAGGGGGAGGAGCGCGCGGCTCTGGAAAGTCCTTACTGACCAGCCCAGCAAGAAGATTTTCACTGGAAAAGGATCAGCAACCGAAAACTATTCGACCGTTAGATCATTATGGTACATTAATAATAATTAAAAAAGGAAAATAAAGTGGGGAAAACAAAAACTTGTGTTATTATTGATAGAACGGAAAATAGGAGCAAACAGGATTAGCTGTCACTTTGTTTTATTTTACTCGGTAACACTTTACTTGAAGGGGTGTGCGTAAGACTGACATGACACCTTCATAATCATGACATGACACATGTCATGAATATGAAGGAGGTTTTATGCATGTTTATGACAACTGTCATTAAGTGTCATTCGCTCAGTTATGTCATTTTTAATGCAAAGATGACATTGTTTGAGATGTCTTTGTTATGGGCTATAGTTAGGGGTAAGGGTAGGGTTAGGTTAGGGTTAGGTCAAATAATGTCATATTTGCATTAAAAATGACATAACTGAGCGAATGACACTTAATGACAGTTGTCATAAACATGCATAAAAAACCTTCATATTCATGACGTGTCATGTCATGATTATGTAGGTGTCATGTCATGATTATGAAGGTGTCATGTCAGTCTTATGCACACCCCTTCAAGTAAAGTGTAACCTTTTACTCTAGTGATTAAAATGATTTTGACAGTCACATACTGCCCTTTAAAGTTTACTGCCTGAATAAATGCCAGTTTACTGTTATTGTGTTCAATTGTTTTCCCAAGATCTACAGAAAAAAAAATGTTGGATATCTGTATTTATTTTTCACAAAATGTATATAATTCAAGGACGTTTTAAACTACATATTAGTAAAACACATAGCCTACAAAACCTTAAAGTTAACGAGATACCACAGTGACAACAAGCCCCAGTCTCTTTTGTACAGCTTATTTTGCTTATATTGATAATTATCTATATCATATTGGTTAGGCCTTACCCTGAAGAGTCAGACCATAATAAAAACTGTTGCACTTGTGCTATTGATAATGTTCCTTAATCTATAACAGTAATATTTATTATTGATTGAAGTTACAAAATGTCAATGAATTACCAGCCTATAAGTAGTTGATCAAGATCACAAGAACAGAGAAGAACACACAATGGTTCTGTGCTGATATGCTTCAGCACTATTGCCTGATAATCCATTAAAAGATTCATAAAAATCATGTCGTAGACCTTGGCATTTAAACACACCCAATCTTTCATTTGGTTCATATTGTTGACATTCGTTTATTTATTTACTCTTTCCAAGGTTGGTTTGGGATCAGTGAGCTTTATTTCCACACCTCTGCGGAAAGACCAGTGATGAAGTGATGTGGATAACGGTCTAATAAAACACGGCAGCAGGCCTAGATTAACTGGCGACGACTGATTCGGAATGTGCTTGTCACTGGTTCCTGTTATCTCCAAACCGAAGGCCCCAGTCCACACTATAGTTCCAGTCCGGGGGTGAATTGTTCCAAAGGGAGAAACATGGAAAATAATACAAGCACGGCAATGAGCACGGCTCAGATTAATAATGATGTGGTAGTTATGAGCAATGTCTGTTTACAAGCTCACACCAGCATTAATTAGCTCAAACGCAATATAATTAGGTACTGCTGTACGACGTCCATTTCCAAACAACATGACTAATCTTTTATTCAGACGTTCTCACGCTACTTCTGTGCTTTATTGGTCCATTGTCTGTGCTTCCCACTGCTTGGTCATTGATCTGAAAGACCTCCATACCCCTCCTCAGGGGGACACACAGACAGTCTTTTGTAAGGTAGCCCATAAGTACACATCTCATTAGGCTTTATGAAGTGAGAGACTCACCATCTATTGAAACACAGCCAGTTTATTCCAGTTCCAACAGCATGTCGAGATTTTTTGCACTATTTAGTGCAACTGTAGAATATCTTTAGCTTTGCAAACCAATTTCCTTAAAATGTTGAAAATCATTAATCATTAAAATGTTGAAAAGCAAGATGTGAGCAAATCGAAATGCTTTGTACTTTATGACTCAAAGAAAATCTCATTCATATAACCGCAACTAATTTAGAGGTAAGGCACAGGAAATGCTTGAGCTTTTTGGTGGTAACAGCTATCTGGGGGTCAAAAAGAATGCTCCATCTAAAGATGCATGTATCTTAATAGGGTTAGCATGTACACCTTATATTTACTTTTGAGATTTACGTTCATTTCCTTTTGGCCATATATGATAATGGTGTTTGTGCAGAACCGGTGACGTACAGCATGATTGAGCCAAGTCAAATCATGCTCAGACTAATCCAATGCAACACTGGAGTCTGGTCTATTAGCATAAGCTTCACTATAGACACACAGCTTCTGCAATCAGAGACTTCATTCTGAGACAATTCAATCTGCACTCCGACTCAGCAACAGGAAGGACCCTTCAATCTAGGTTGCGAGGAAAAGGCAATGATAGAGTAAGCTATGATACATATTGTGAGTTCATTGGTCTGTCAAACAACCTGAAGTTCCTTCAAGGTATTAGTGCTTCCTGCCCTCCCAGGTGAGCAAGACAAGTTATGTGATGCAGAACAATGTCAGGAAAGATTAAGTCTGGTCATGATCACTGAGCTTCAGTTGAAAGATGACAGTCGTAAGAAATATTTGACCAGCCTAATAAGAAAATCCATACAGTAGGTGGACCAATTAGATTTGTTCCAGTGCTGGGAAAAAGAACTAGGTAACTCTCATTAGTGGTTTAACTGAGCTGCGAGGCACTGGAGTCAAATTTTGGCACGGTCTACAAACTTTATGAGACTGTAGATTTTTATGTTGACCTTTTATATCTGTTATTTAAACGCAAATGTTCATTGATATACAAAGAAAGGAAGAAATGAACGTGTATAGCTCAGAAGCTCTGAGAGCTCATTTGTGTGACCAGGGGTAAACATGTGCGTCAGCATGCTGCATGTGCATCTGGCACGCTCTTATGATCTCTTCATCACCCTGTATGGTTGATGGAGTGCAAAACAGGGCTGTGACAGGACAGAGGGGTATATGATTCCATCATAATCTTTTCAAAGCTCTGGAGGAAATCAAGAGGACTTATCCTGTACTCCTCCTTCCTCTGCTGGTAGTGGGCAAACTCAATGATGTGCCTGTTCTCCGCCTCCACCTTTTCTCACTCTAAATGTCTCCACTCTGCTTGCTGCTTTTTAAAATCTTCAATGTATCTCTGAGTGGCCACCACTTTCTCAAGTCGTAACTGAAGCTCCCTGTAAATTAAGTTTGTCAGTTTCAAACCATCCTACATCCATTTTACCAGCTCATCTAAAACAGATGATGTTGTCTGCTTTCTCCAGAATTTCTGAAAATGAAGTAGAAAACATTATACTCAGGAAAACGGGAAAACAAAGAACACACTTACCTCTGATCTTCCTCATAGATCTTTTTAATTTCCTAAGTCATAACCATCAGAATTAAAACAAAAAAACTCTTGAAATATTTCAGTTTGTGTGCAATGAATCCATAATATAAGAAAGTTGTTGTTTTTTTTATAACAAAAAATTAAGAACTTTTCCATGATATTCTCATTTTTTGAGATGCACCTGTAGTGCCATTAAGCTCTCCGGTCTCTTACCTGTTCTCTTTAATGTACTGCCTCATCTTCTCATCTCGGAGTTTCTCATTATTAATTCTCGCAAGCTCCTTGGCCATCCTCTCTTCCTGTTCAAGCTGCCTCTCTCTGAACTGTCTGTCCTCTTCTGCCTAAAACATACATTTTGCATTGATTTTATTTATATTTTCAAAATAAAATTGTAATGTTACATATATGTTTAGATTTAGAATAGACTGTATTCAGTGTATGTTCTTAAATGCATGGTTAATGTTTCATGCATTTTCTTAAAGGTATGTTCATATTTTTGTATGGCAGGAAAATAAACAGTAGGGCACAGATAATGGGGATCCTAACAAATAAACAAAAACGAGACCAGGCATCTCTTTTTGAACAGCTGAAGTAATGTACAACGAACAGAATAAAATCAACCTTGAGAAGTGATTCCTCGATTTGTTTGCCATACTCTTCATCTTGCATTTTGAGCAGGAAGCGCTTTTTCTCGACTCTCTCTTCGCACTGGATGTTGGCTTGCAGCTGCTTCTCTTTGGCGATGTGTTTGGTTTGATCCTCACGCATTTCCTCCTGTTTGCGGTACTCCAGGATCATCTTTTGATGGTGGTTGTGAGAGATGTTGAGCTGCTGGCTTATGAAAGACTGCAAAGAGATGGTCTCTCGTAAGTTCTACAACACAACCTCGCATCGTTTGTAGCATCTGTAACGATTACCTAGTTCGTGAAACAGACTGCTCATGGTTTTTTGACTACTCATATCTGCATCATTCTTACCATTCCTCAGGTGTACTGGAGGTTTTGGATCAGGTCCGTCGACTCTGCGATATAAATGCTTTTGTTTCTAACTAAACAAAGTGGGCAACACCACACTCATTTGTTTGTGAGTCGTTGTCCTAGAAACGCAGGGCTTTCAGACCTGGGAATAAAGACGAATATTGTTGGCCAGCGCAACTCTTGCAGAGCCAAAATAAAGTGCAACAGGTTCCGGAAGTAAGCATTCCCATTTATTTTATTTGAAATTGATATATAACGTGGTGATGGTAACAATGAACGAAGCATGTGAAAACTTTGAATGAAATTAACCATTTGCTTCGCAAAATGTTTCGTAGCAAATGGTTTTGCTCTAAACCCTCTAACTCTAGCACTTTCTATTCTATTTTAATTCTACTTTATCTATATTTATCTTCTTTTTTTATAAAAAAAAACACTAGCTTTCTATTTTTTCTATTTTATCTAGCTTACTTGTTTTTCTTTGTGTGTGTGTGTATAATATATATATATATATATATATATATATACATACACCTTGCTATGTGTACTGCGTTAGACTAACCGAGACTTGTCATTTGCACTTATATATTGTTGCTCTTTTGTTAGTTTTGACTGCTTTTATTGTCCTCATTTGTAAGTCGCTTTGGATAAAAGCGTCTGCTAAATGACTAAATGTAAATGTAAATGTAAATGTAAGCACTCTAAACGCCAAACGCTAGTGACGCCCGATGGTCAGAATCATAGAGATGAATGGTGCAAATGCAACAAAACTCACCCCAAATATGTATAAAAACACCTTTTACAAACCAATTGCAATGTTTTATTGAATCTCTATTAAATGCAATTAAATCTTCTAATACCATTAAGTGTCTGTATAATAGCATCTGTGTTATTTTGGTTATTTTATTACGTTTTTGTAGGGCTTGTTTTGTTCATGCTTTTTTAACTATTAAAACATAAAAATTAATTCATAAAATAAATAAACATATAAATATATAAACTATAGCCTATTTTTTCCACCACAGGATCAAAAATAAAAAAGTTAACTTTTTATCTCACAATTCAGGTTTTTTTTCCTCATAATTGCGTGATATAAATTTACCCCAGATGATAATTAGGGGTGTAAATATGATGGTTCATCACAATACAATATGATATAAATTCTCATACCCAGTGATACGATATTTGCCGAAACCTAAAAAATTCTATGATACGATTACGATATGATTAGATTCAGAAGTATATCGATTGATATATCGAAATTATGATATTATGTACCTAGCTACGTATTTATTAACTCACAAATGCAACCAAAATATATGACATTAACATCTAACATTTATTGGAAATTTCCACATCCTGTATCCCAGCTGGGACATTCTTAAAAAAAAATATATAAAATAGGCCTGCTTTTTTTTTTTTTTTTATAATAATAAAGAAAAATAAATAATTGGGAGGGAAATTCAAGTCACACACACATAAGATCAGTAATCTTATGACATGGATGACTTGTATTTAGGCATGGGGCCCAGAGATGACAGCACACAAATCAGACCCATATGTGGCCTGCACACCGTGGAATATGTCGACCTATGGTTAACATTTGGTTTTTACTTGGAAAAACACACATAACCTGCTATAGTCATAATGTGCGGCAGGTTTCTCAGCCTATTCAACAACACCATTGGTTTATGAGAATCTTCCCTTTACTTACTATTGGCGGGTTATTGACAGTGTTGGGAAGGTTACTTTGGAAATGTAATAGGTTACAGATTACAAGTAACCCTATTTAAAATTTAATAAGTAGTGTAACTATTTCAATTACTTTATTAAAGTAATGTAACTGATTACATTTGATTACTTTTTGATTACTTTAATAAATTTCTAATGTTTTCAACTGTTAATCATTTTCAAACATTTAAACCAGGCAGGGTTAACCTTACAGTGGTACTCAACAATGATTACTGTCAGACTTTCAAAATCCTTCACTCGAATTAAGATTATAAAAATTTTATTTTAAAGCACAGCCATCAAAAAATTAGAATTTACTTTGAGATCATTCTGAAGTTAAATACAGATTTGAAAATCATAACAACGAATAGTTTAATAGCTACGATACTGTTTTTAAAATCAAATCTTTGCATAGCTATGACAGGAAAGAAACATTGGTGTCTCATATTTTAGAGCAGTCACTGCAATTTCTGAAAGAAATCAATTAAATCTGTATGTACTGTATGTAATCGTTAACATTTTTATAAGAAGGCCTAACTGTAATTTAATTGCACATTTTTTCTCAGTAACTGTAACTGATTACAATTACATTTATGTTGTAATTAAATTACGTAGTTCTGTTACATGTAACTAGTTACTCCCAACACTGATTATTGAAAAAGTGTCTGGTACAGAGTCTCTGTTCTCCCTCCTTACAACAACAGCCTTTGCCCAGACACACTTTTATCTTCAGGTAAATGCAGTTTTGGTGTTTAAAATTTTTTCTAGGGGTGTAACACTACACTTATTTGTACAGAAAATGTATGTTTTCAGTTCGGTATGTGTACCCAACAAATACATTTTTAACCACTGCATGTTGCAGAACTTAATCATATTCCCTCTACATCATCACTATACATTATCTCCTGTCCAATAATCACAATAAGCTTTGTGTTTTGTTATTTAAAAAAAAAAACAGTCTCATCTTTCAAATTCTGTCTATTTTATCAGGAAATTCAAACAATAAATGCTGTTTTAACGCTCCTTGATGTGGCGTGACAGATCGCTGTAGTGCCTCAGTACAACATGTGAGTTAAATATTTTATTTACAACAACATTTATGAACAGCATTTGTGACAGACAAGTGGACTAGTGAAAGCAGAAAAAAAAGCTGAATTTTGCACATATAGTTTGTTAAGGCTGACATTATTAGGGACCCCAGCAAGAAGCAGCATTGCAGTAAAAGCGAGAAAAAACAAAAGTATTAAAAAGCCACATTAAAGGATAGCATAGGGCGAAGTCTAGCAATATTTCTGAGAAAAGATAAGGAAGTCTTACATTGCACGTGTGGATCAAAAGACAAACTCAAATCAAATATAACTCTTACATTTTTTAGTTCAGTTCAAAACTCCAAAACAGAGCCATCCACGTATAAAGTTAGCAAACCAGCTTTACGAAGCTGATGAGGAGAGCCAATGAGCATAACTGAAGTCTTATCAATATTGAGTTTGGTTCATCCACATTTTTATCTCAGAAATGCAGTGTGAGAGAAAAGAAACATCCACATTTTGACCAGTGAATATAGTGAGTATAAATAGAGTTAATAGAGTGAATATAAATCTGACTACCCATTTCACCCTCTGATTTCTGTTTTATGGACAAAATATCATCTTTTGTGTTCCACACAAGAGATGAAGTCAAAAAGGTTTGGAATAATAGTCATTTAAGAAGTCATATAGGTCAGTTAATGATTACAGTAACAGTACAATATATTGTTCGGCAGCCTCAACAGGTTGTCCATTGATAGGAATAGGTCTGATGGTTATCAGATTCCTAAGAAAATAAATGGAAATGTTTTTGTTCTTGATTACAATAAACATACTGTAAACAGCTGTAAACATTAGTTTCTTATAAATCAGCCTTTGATAAGAAAAGGATCACTTTAAAAATGAAGAACACACAAAAGCATTTACCCCTGGTGTATGGAATTGGTAAGTTAATGTGCAAGGTTTGTAAGTTTTCAGTGTGTTTAAATCATGAAAAATTGTCCTCTTTTGTTTGCAGACTGTCTTTCTTATAAAAAAATATTTACAATGGTTTAAAAGTTTATGGTTCTGTGATGTTAAATCAAGTAAGTGTCATTTTAAGATTTAACTGAAACAATTTCTCTTAAGAACTTTAAAATATTGTTTTCACAATATATTACATTATGACCCATGTAAAAAAAAAAAAAAAGCATTTTTGTTTTTTTGTTTTAAATGTTCTTTCTGGGAGTTTTGTATGTAATACAAGAAGCAGAAGCACCATGTATTAACATCAGTGATACCAACAGCAACCATGAGCTTGAAAAACTTCTGGACAGAATTAAATATGTTGCTCGAAGCTGCAAAGAAATTCGTGACAAGTATCATGTTTATGATGGTACAACCATTTTCTATCTATATTTGTGATCTTGTGCACCAAACTGCATTTATTTGACTCAGGAATGCTTGTGTTCAATCAGACGGCCTGTACTATCTGATCTCATCAAGAGGAGTCCTTTACCAGACATTCTGTGATATGACCACTGCTGGAGGTGGCTGGACGCTGGTGGCCAGTGTTCATGAAAACAACATGTATGGAAAGTGCACTGTTGGTGATCGCTGGTCTAATCAGCAGGGCAGCGACCCAAACCGGCCTGATGGTGACGGGACATGGGCAAACACAGTCACATTTGGAGCTGCGGAAGCTGCTACAAGTGATGATTATAAGGTATTTTTATTACAGTAATGGTTTTACAGCCATGACTTAACATAAAGGATATTAAGACACTGGATTGACAATCAAATTATGTTAATCTAGAATCTCAAACAGAACAAAACTGTATTATATAAAGCACTATATAAATAAATGTGACTTGACGACAGAATCCTGGATATTTTGACATCGGGGCACAGGATGTGTCTGTGTGGCATGTTCCTAATAATAGTGAGTTGGAGCACTGGACCACTGCCTCCATCCTGAGATACCACACTGAAAATCAGTTCTTAACCCTACATGGAGGAAACCTTTTCAATTTATTCAAGGTTAGATAAACTATGACACCATTTTAACAGAAATATAGGTAAAGACTAATTTTGTCATGAAATTAAATAAAACACTGAATATTTATCTTCATTTTCCCAGAAATTCCCTGTGAGGTTTGGAATCGGGACATGCAACATTGATAATGGACCTGCTATTCCAATAGTGTATGATACTGGAAGTACGATAATGACCAAAAATCTGTATGGTCCAAATTCAAGAGGTACGGCAATACTTAAACAAATATTTTTCAAATTAGCTACATCAATTAACAGTCATAAAATCTGTGTATTATTCAGTTCTGGTGTTCATTGTTGAGATCACTTTAATGAATGAAAGCCATGTTGCATGTGGACCTACCATGACAGATCATCATCAGTGGTATATTCTGTGGATTTTGTTTTCAGAAATATTTGAGCCTGGATTCATCACATTCAGGGTCTTCAATAGAATCGATACTGAAAAGGCAGCTATGGCTCTTTGTTCAGGTGTTAAACCAACCGATTGTCACACCGAGCATGTGAGTTAAAAAATAATCTAACCATTTATAAACTGACATTGTGGCATACTGTTAATCACCACAGGCAATAATTCATGCTTCGTTGTATAAATGAAGAGCAGGGGTGCAAAACATACGTAACCCACCAGTCTGATCATTCCATGCAGCCCAAAATCCAAGTCACAGAAAT